ATTTGCATTCCAGCTCAGCAGCCAATCAGCGACGGCCTAACGCTTAAGATGACAATTTCTGTTTCAAATACCCCGGCTTAGTGGACCGGACCGGACCGTATTTTTGTGAAAGATTGGTATTTTTGTCCTGATTTGTAGGAATCTGAAAAACGCGTTTCACAACTTGTCTCTTATTTAGTTTTATGCGTCATTCAAGATGGCGGCCCCCTTGTAGTAAATATCGTATTTATTTTATTATCACGTATGCGACGGCTCTATACATTGACATGAAAGATCGGTTATTACCATCGCTGAATCCACCAAACGGCATGTTCATATTATGAGCGACTTCGTGTCGTTCATACTTACTCTGTAACCGAGTCCATTATGATTTCTTGAGAACGGATAGAACGCCCCCAACTGATGCCATCTAAGACACATTTCATATTGAGCGTCGTTGATAAATCCACATATATCAGCGCCAACCTGTAATAGAAATAAACATTGCAGCATACCATAGTGCTACGAGACAGTTTTACAGTCTCAATAAATGACGGTATAGTAAGTAATTTTGGTAATCGTTCGAAGTAAAGATTGAAAATAATAACCCCTCATGAGTAGCACGTGAAAACGGAGTAAGTTGCTACAGATGAAGGACCATTGCCTGAACCGTTTAGCCATTTTGATTAGTTACTTAGGGCGATCATTATCGAATATTTTCTATTATATATCATATTTATCGGACCAAGCAGCTTTTATCTACTTAAAGCTTTGCAATATATAACAGTTCGTTTTGTGTACACATATACCACTGCAACATACGTAAAGGATTTGGAAACATTTATGTCAATATATTTACAAGAACCGGATAGAACACGATAATTATATACTTACATATGGCATGCCGAATAAATTCATTTCTAACATTCCTGCAAGAATAAAAATAGTTTGCAATTTGAATTAGCAGATTTGTAATTATGTATTTGAGTTATTAAATCATAATGATAGTAATTGTGTCGTTATGACAATTAGTTAAATGCGTTAAATGTGCGTTCTAACCAATGATTGAAAAGTGCATGTTATTCCATTGACTGTAGTTGTCTCCTAACCAATGACCAACGTGTTGACTGGATCCAGGATAAGTGGAACGAGATATGACGATACTACGCTTGCCAGTTGCTGCACGTGCTGCTCTGGAAAACGAAACATTATGGACAATTATATTTTCGAATTAGAGGCTGTTAAGACGTTATAGCCTCACATTATCGCATGGTAATTTGAATTTTTATTCGCATGTGAATTCATTTCAATCATAGACCTCTCTTTCAAAGATCTATGTTTCAACGAAAAGCTCTCAAATTTGAATAAGTTCGTTTAATTCAAATGTTTATTCTGGTGACCTGATGTTAATAACAGGAAATAACAGCATGCCAAGATGTTGTTTTTCAAAATACAGAGAATTACATTCGTGTGTCATAGAAGTATTTTGTCGCTAGTAGATGGCACAATTTACAGGAGAGTTGTCGTCATACTGGCCGGCAAAGACTGCGCATCGCCGCAGTTCAAAGTTCAACTTATACTTACGCCAAAGATGGCGGACCTTCAGACAAACCATAAAGACTGTGGATGTCATAATGTTTTCCTGCAAAGTGCACGAAATCTGGGCACAGTGTCTTGTCAGCTAATACATTACCAAATATGTCTAAATAGATGACAAATAATAAAATAAGTGATTAACTAATGAAGCATGTATAATATGGTGTATAGACAGGGCGGATTTAAATGGACCGCCCGTGCTAAAACCTCGTTCCTCACTCATAAAACCATAACCCACAATGCAATGCGACAATAAAGGGGACGCAGCGCCACTACCAAACAGCATTCCCTCCTATTACGAATTATTTGGTGAGATACGTATATCAGTCACAACTACAGAAATTGAAATATTATATGTGTATTGCGAACATACATAAAAAAAATAATAACTGTCTGTTAAAGCGGGCGGGTCGTCACCTGCGCACGCGCGGGAATTGAGTCCCAAGCGACGATAACAACACATGCTAAAAACGCAAAGGCTCATGGGTAGACGCTTGTTTGTAAACAATGACACGCTATGGCCATCTGACGCATGCGCAGGCGACGACTCCCCGCTTTAGTATAAAGCTTACTGGGATGGTAGGGTGGATTATTCCACTTGTTGTAGTCACATCCATCCAGTGAACCAGTTACAAAACTAGCAGGCTCGTTCATATCCTACAGAGAGATACGTTCATCACGTGTTATGCAGGTTTATTTTGTGAGAGGTGATAAAGTTTGTCTCACATGATCAAAGCGTTATAAGCGTACAGTCAATATATAATGACAGGATAGTAGGTATCAAATCCATTTCTACCACATTACTGACGCCAATGTTGTTATCATACTTACAATCCAGAGCCCGTCATAGTTTATTACTTCTTTAAAGTCTAGGCACTGTTTGACCCACCACTCGTTACAAGTCGGATTGGTGTAGTCAGGAAAGACGACGCCCTCTGGTGGCCATACCTGTTATATACATATGTCTATTACATGCCCATATATAGACACAATACGCAAATATTGATTGATCGATTTTCAATTAGCATTAATACCATGAACTTATTTGCCATTAATTTGTCCTTGCCTGGCGTCTGTTTGTTTGTTTGTGGGCAATCAATTACATTTAGTAGGGAGAGACCTAAGTTGCCATAGAGACATTTTCATTTTTAGGAATGTTTATCATTGCCAGCTAACTTTAAAAATATGGAGTAATTTCCACGAAACAATTAGAATAATTAGACAAGATCCAATCGATTATATTATTAAGGCAAGAAGATCTAGATGTAGTTGCCATTGAAACAGTTTTTTTTAAGGATATACTTATTCCGAACGTCATTTGTAATAGTAAGTATTTTGCAACTGTGTCGGAGGTTTGTGCTTACAGACTGCCTTTTTAAGTCGTGCAATTGATAAAACAGCATCATCATAAAATAGGCAATATAATGCAGCAGATACTGGTGTTGAACACTACGCAAGTGTGAGAATATAAAACATAATATAATTGTACCTTGCCGACTACTGGGATACCATTAGTGTCATTAACCCATACCCCTAAACGAGAACCTTCATCGTAAGGTGGATACGTACCAGCGGGTTCGGAATTAGCAATGCATGGATCCTGCAACAAATGAAATGAAATACATTTAGATTTATTCCATATATCATGTTGTTTCAGTTTGGTATTGTCGATACCTCTATAGCAATTAATCTGATTGGCCCTGACAAACATGTTGACCTATGACACCGTGGCTGTCAAGCTCAAAGTGCACAAACTTTTCAACACTAGTATGTTGGATGTTTTATGCAATATATAAAAAGATTGTTAGGAATAAAATTAATTTGAATATATTTGGTAGTTCCAGATATCACTTTAATCGAGTGTGTTACAAACCAGCAAATATGCGAGGCACAATTTCAAAGTTTCACTCATATATATATTGATAATTCCACACGAATTACGTGAAGGCAACAGTTAGAATTTACTCAAAAATTACTAATTATGTTATTAATGTATCCCGTGTTTAGATGATAGTATTATTTAAATATTAGCTATGACGTCACTCACTAAGATTATAATGTAATGAATTCCCTCTTCGGTTTTCAACTCGTTAACGTATTCTGGTAAACCTGCATAGTTAACTTTATCGTACGTAAAGTCCATATATCGATCCATGTAGTCGATGTCACCGAACTGAACATCCTGCAAAACAGATTAGAACCAACCTTTAATATTTGTAAACGTCTTCCTGCACACAAAACAACACTTGTATATGTTCGTTGAATACATTTCATTGTTACCATGGTTAAGTGAAACTGTATTTGCTCTTTGGGCCAATGACCTTTTGCTTTGCAATAAATATACTATTAGTATACAGCTAAGTGTGGAAGTTCCCTGTTTGCAGATTCATACCAGAGTACTTGTGCATCTATGGGTTTGGTGTATCATTAAGTTTATTAAATATTGTCTTTCAAAATTGAATTTAGAAAACCATGACAGCAAAAAATGTTTAAATCTAATTTCCATCATCAATTACAAATTGTCAATCCATATTTATTGGACTGGAAAGTTTTTAAACTAAGTGAATTTTACACAATGAATGAATGCACAAAACCCCACATAGATGCACAAGTCTTTTCCAGGCTGGTTATATCTTAACACCATATTCATTTCATATCAAAATCCTTCAAATAATTAGTAAGTTTAAAATTTAAACGTCTTTTGAAAGCAAATCCTTCAGTTAACTCAACTTACTTACCAGTGGTATATCGTAAGCCAGAACTCTGTTGACGGTTTCCTTGACAACATCGATGTGATTATATCCATACCGAGAAAGTTGGAATCCCATGGACCAATAAGGTGGCATAAATGTACGCCCAACAGCCTACAATCGATACAAACCGTTGTAAACACCACGACCATATTTTGAATTGATCAAGCATGCAGGAATGATAGCAAATCATATAGAATACATTATATTACGTGCTGTATTGTCAAAACAATTACATTCCCAAACCTCAGACAATTGCTCCGCTACATTCTCTGGAGTGGGTCCCAGGAAGATCCAATAATCTAGCACGCCACCTATTGTACGATATGTAATTGCTGGACCGGGTTGTAAGGTTACATCTAACAACACAAGAGATACACAATGATGGAAGTTTTACATAATGACACGTGTCGGTCATATAGTGAGTTGATTTGATACCTATGGATACATTAAACACATGCATGCAATAATACGTACCCTGTGCATTGCTGTTTAATAATAATACTCCATGTGCATTGAAGTCTTCTTCAATACTCATATAATAGGGGTACACGCCGTACAAGTTACCATTCTCCTATTAATGTTGTATATTAACACCTCAGAACGTCGTATTATTTGAGTAAAATATATGCATATGTACATACCAAAATGCTATCAAATTTCGGGTGCGTGATAATAGCATTTCACGTCAGCTGGAACATAGATTCATGTTTTCATATATATATATATATATATTTCATATAAGCTACTGATTATAGAAAATGAAAGACCGCCCATCATTAAATATCACCCGATTAGATCTGTCGATGCATGAGATACACAGAACACACAATCATCCCACGAACTCGTTATCATCCGCTACGTGGGGGATCGCCGCTAACATGGGAAAGATGACGCCAATGTCAGATGACATGAACGACATACAGTGTAATCACCAATAAATCTAATCATTTCATATAATGAAATACAATCAGCGAAATCAAAGATTGGTAACAATGATGACCTCTTATAAACTTACAACTGGGGGTTGATCTCTCGAATACATTCCATGAGTTCTGAAACCAATATCGTGTCGGAAACTGTGGTGTTCGTGTTCTCCAAACCCATAGATTTCCTCAGAGCCAAGTTTGGTTGCTAACTGCAAGTATTGATCTTCATATACCAACCCGCCTATAGATGTGTCCCAACTATATAAAATTAAAAGAATTGACTTTCAAATAACGTTTTATAACCTTGAAATCGACATAGCATTGTGTATAGTCGTATGTTTTACATATGTCATAAGACTCATATAGTATAAGTGCGCTTACATCATCCTGCCGTTATCTGTTCTGGTGACGTTCAGCGTAAAAATGGGATCGTTAGAATACTGGATTTGATACAGTGGATTGGACGCTTTGTTGTTATTCCTAGGCATCTGATGTGGTACCTCAAACCTAATATTATTTGGATCGTAGATCTATAAATAAAACACAATTTATTAAAGGGCGATGGTCGTGCGCGAGGTATGGCTCCCATAAGATGGCGACTTTGACCAACGAGTACAAACTGGGAAGTTGCCAAGTTTGAGGTGATTTTTATTGTGATTGGAAGATAAAAACGAGTCATTGGCGGTAATTAGTGCAAGTCGCGACCAGGTCAAAACTTGTACTCGTGATTTTATTAGAAGAGCGCATTGCATTATAGGAAAATCAATGTTCATCAGCACAAATGTCGCACATGCGCAGCGCGACGACCACCACCCTTTAAGAATATTTCAAGTAAATTGTTTTGTTCAACACAGACTGAGTGATACTTTTCAACAAATAATACGCATACATAACATATAAGCATTTCAAGATGGTAGCTCACTTTTACGTGTAATCGTTCGTCGGTCTGCATTTCTATGTCTATACGAATTTCATCTACGTCCCCTCCAAACAGGGTGTAATCGTGATCCCGGCGTAGATCGATTCGGTGTCCAAAATACATATCTTGTACTTCGCCTGTAATAAAGCATTTGTTTTTATAACCGCTATATGTTAACGTGGATAGTTAATTCATAAAGATTTCGCAAATTTCTTTGTTTGATTAGACACGATATTTGTTGCAAATACCCGACAGAAGAAGAAGAATGTCAATATGATGTTTTCATTTTATTGGACAATTAATATGACTGTGTAACATCACGATTATCATGGAATAAATATGCGTACTCTCTTTACTTTTGTTTATTTGGATGTTCTTATTATGTTCGCAAGTGCCAGTATTTTAGTTTTTATTTTAGTTAATTGTGTCAACTTCAAACTCCAACTCGCAAGACCTTCCTGAAAAAGTCGTTCCAGTGTAGTTGGCATTCCTATTTAAATTGAAATATGTGTGTGCACCCTCCACGGTGATTTTGTTTAATCCAATAACTGGTAAGAACTAGCCCACATATAATTGTGATCTACTTGCCTTTTCATGGGAGTTACACTATAACACTTATTTGATATTTTTTATAGAATGTCATAAATGATTAAAAAAAATAACATTTATCTCACCGACAATCCTGTAACCTCTGTCATCGGGTGGGAAGTAGCACCATGGAACGCCGTCACGATTACTCGAATCATAGTAGCAACCACGCTCTCGACACAGTGATTCACCACCCGCCTGATCCATGAGGCAGTCAACTCGATATCCTTCCATTATGGGCTCAGGGGCAACTGTCATATACAACACGAGAATGGTTTGATACACTAGTGCTAAAATATAGTTTGGACTATACATAGATATCCAGACGTTTAAATTAAGCATATTTTGCATTATATGCACACTGTATACTGTATGTATACACTGGTATACACTAGTATACACTGGTATACACTAGTATACACTAGTATACACTGGTATACACTGGTATACACTGGTATACACTATTATACACTGGTATACACTGGTATACACTAGGATACACTGGTATACACTGGTGTACACTAGTATACACTGGTATACACTAGTATACACTGGTATACACTAGTATACACTGGTATACACTAGTATACACTGGTATACACTGGTATACACTGGGTGTCATCGCCATTCTCATTTAATCAATCGTTCAACTTCAGTTGCATTAATTATGTTGAGTTCTTAACACGTACGACCAAATTAATGCCTCACGTACCTCCTTCTGAGTAAAAGCACCAAGGTGCGCCTTCGTAAGCTGTTTCACACCAGAGACATCCTCTGCTTTCACACGAAGGTTGCGTAGATCCTGAGTCTGGATGACAATCGACACGGTCTTTGGGGTGTTGGTAGGTTGGACAATCACCATATGGGGCAGGGTCCGTATTGTAGAAACACCAGGGTACATTTACATCATTGCTCTCGCACCAAGTACAGTCCCTGAAATAATACCATCATAGAATAAGTAAGATCGGTCATGTGTTTAAGCGAATCGGCGCCGAATTCAGAATATCTCCAAAATTGTTTATGGAGTTATCGAATGTGATCAATGAAAACTTTCACATGTTCATACGTTCTCGGTGTCCAAACACAATAGATTCTGCCGGACTGAAAAATTTAGTTTTCTGCAAATTAACTTTAATTCTTGCGTCAGCCCCTCATAAAATGCCAACATAATTTGAGTGTGATTTGAATTAATCTCACCGTTCCCAACAACTTTCTTCCGTGGATCCCGGATCAGAGTGGCAGTCCCGTCTTTCATTCTCGGGTACGTTCGTCGGACATTCTTCGGGGGCTACCGCTAGTAGTGTTGTGACTGCCTGCAGCAAGACTAAAGCAACCATAAACCACGTACAGTTACACATTATGGATCTATACAAGACCTACCTAACACTTGAACAGCAAGTACACGTTATATATATGCACGTGTGAGTAAATACTGTATCATTCATGGGAATGTCAGTTACATGTAATTGTATAGGAACCATCTGAACAAATTAGACTCGGTTTCGTTTATCAATGTGTACACGATTATCCCGATAGTGAACTGTTATTGTCGCAGTGGTGTCGTATTTGAAGTGGATGTACCGAGGGACATACCAAATATCAAGTTTATTTCGTGTTACTGTGACGTCATGTGTGTGTAACAGTCAGTTAGTTGTGTATTTGGCGCATCCTTGTACACGAGAAAACAGTAAAGCCATTCGAATCACAGTTTATGTGCTGATATCTAGAATCCTGCTTTAACGTTTTTGATTTGATTAATATTTATAATCAGACAAGATATTTATCATATTCTAGTGCATTATGATCATGTAATTACATTTGTTAATGGTGTGAAGAAAATTACATTCGTAGACGAATATATACTGACGTCAATAGGTATCTTTAAATATGAATTTCCGAAATCACCGTGAGGTTTGACATTCTTATCAACAGATCGACTTCAAATATGACAAATATTATCGTGAGAATTAAACCACACGTGTCGTACATTTGTTGACATTCGGCATTTTTGAGACGTGTGAAACCACGATATCTCTCGCAGTACTAAGTAGTTATTTCCCTATTTGCATGCGTCACATCTTAATGCAAAAATCTGACCGCAATCTGGGTCACGATGTTCGTCGTTGGTGGCGCACTAAAGCCCTCCTTCCCTTGAGTCGTCGCATTATTTAATGGATATTTTCAGTTGTAGCATTCTAAGATCATATAGTGTGGGCCGCCATTATCATCACAACAAATTTCAATAACCAGTTCAAGTTTTTGCATAAACAATTGTTTGTATAGTTGAAGTACTTAGTAAATATTTTAATTAATATACGATATTTAGGCTAATATTTGTGTTGTGCTACTCACCGAGTTGAACGCAGCTTAAAACATGACTATTAAACACTATGTGAAATGCCATAGATAAGGAAATAATTTCAATGTTATAATCATATTATTATATTTATATAGTAACCACAAACCGATAATAGATTTAAGGTCTGTATTTAAAGAGTCGATATTCCATTATATTTACATTATTCTTGGTCATTCATTATATATTTTAGATCTACATTAATATGCATAACTATATAATAATATGCATAAGTCGGAGAAGTGCGGAGGTAAACACGTGAAGATTGTGACATCGTTGTGGAATAAACAAAATACGAAAATATTCATAAATACTAAGTTGAAGTCTTTAATTTACAAATAAATAAAAACATAGCCTACTGATAAAAACATAGCCTACTGATAAAAACATAGCCTACTGATAAAAACATAGCCTACTGATAAAAACATAGCCTACTGATAAAAACATAGCCTACTGATAAAAACATAGCCTACTGATAAAAACATAGCCTACTGATAAAAACATAGCCTACTGATAAAAACATAGCCTACTGATAAAAACATAGCCTACTGATAAAACAAGCAACAATTGAAGTTATTTTGATGTTCATTATTACACACAAGTCGCCACGTATTTTACGTAGTATGCTGTAACCAGAGTAGTACAGAGGATCATGGGGCAAGTAAGAAGTTTGTAATTAATCCAATATATACTGTATGCCAACAGCAATAGTTGTTTACTCAGAGACAGTAAAAAAAGTCTGAAAACAGTATACATGTGACAGATGTTCAGTCTTGGTTAAAGCGCAGTGGTCGTCGCGAACCGCGTGTTCGAATTTCGTGTAAATAAACAATGTATTTTACACGCGATGTATATGTCGCTATGAGTCCCATATCGAACAGGACGCGGCGCGACGACCGCCGCCCTTTAAGTTAATGTTTTGTGATATTGTGAAGTACAGCGAGCTGCAGTGAGTGACGATAATATGAACGCCCTCTAGCGGCATAATGAAGATCGTTTGATTGGGATTTATTGTCACTTTGTTCCAATCTCCGATCGTTAACTACTAATATATTCGAAATGAACGTAATTTCAAATAAAAAGCTTTGAAACGTTCTTTGAAAAAAGATTTGGGAAATCAAAACCCGTAAAGTTATTAATGGATAAGTAGAACTCTAGAGGGCGCACTCTATGATTCGTCCATGAGACGAGGCATACCACGTTGAATATCGGACTGTAGTCTGACATAAACGAATTAACACAGTTGTACCCAGTAAGAACCGAATAACGTTGTACACTTACATATTATACCTCTTTAACTATGGATTATTAGGCATTTTTCTATCAGACGTCATCAATAAAAAATAAAGTATCATCACCGAAGATGATTGCAGACGAACGTTATAATAATCTGGGCGGCAGAACTTTTAGTAGAGACACAAAAACACAATTTAGCAATGATGATTTACTTTGGGTCAGGATGGGTCACTAATTAAGATGAGACTCGTAGATGAGCAAATGTATAGTGTCAAATGTCAATACAATATATTATCCAAAAAATCATGTTTTCTCAGTCATTTCTATGGTATCTTCTGATTCTCTGTTGAGGGCGCTACCATTGGCTGCTGAGTGGTTACCGTTATCTCGAGACATAACGGGCGTAGAGTCATCCCCCGGATGGTGTCGAGTTCTTGAAGAAATACTATTTAGTCTGGAATATGTCTGCGATTCTGCATCCGTTGAACACATACTGGCCATCGACGCGACCTCTACGACATATTCCCTGCGTCTTCGGATATATCGGACGAGGTAAAATAGTACGATGATCGAGACAAGGATGAGAGCAACACTGAGAACTACTGAAACACCGACGATTAGCATCAATCCAACCTTGGAAAGGTCTAATAAAGTATGCAGGTCACCTGTAGAAAGAGACGAACAGTAATTAGTATCATTTAATTTAAGTGTGGACACGGCATGATCTATAAAACAAACCAATACCACGTGTGGAACACATTGTGCATTGGTAGAGTGTTTTACTTGCTGGGCCGTGAGGGGCGCAGTTACACAGATGGTATGATATATCAGCCTCTGACGTCACTCTGCTATTGAATGTGTTAAAATGACCTAAACATCCCGAAGATTCATGTAACCCAAGTGGTACATTTATAAATGACTAAAATAGTCTACATACCCCAGTACCATCCATTGTGTAGTGTGAGCAATAAATTGTCCCTATGCATGTTTAATGTACAACGGAGAAACATCGGAATGATTTTAAAGGTCAAAAGTCGCGCCATCATGCGACGAAGCGCTCTTGTGACGTCAAAATGACGTAGACGGGTGGAAGGCAGTACTTGTTTGCGTAGTCATCCATCAATGAAAGGGAAGACCACAGATAAATACAATAAGGACGCAGCGAACGACTTCTCTCAGAAGCACCTTGTCGCTAGATGGCGCCATTGCCTCCATTAGTATTAAATTCCACTCTTACCTCTACAAGGCCCGTCTATGACGTCTTCATCGGCCCCGTTAATGCAGTTATAAATTCCATCACATGTCAAACTTCGAGATATACATAAACCAGAAGTGTTTACACATGAAAAGCAATCGCCATCTGAAAGAGACAACACAGCGTATTATTATGACTACCAACAATCCACGAGCACGCGCGGAAAAAGACCACTGACCTTTGACATATTGAATATTACGGCCATAGACAAGACCTGTGAGCTGACAGCATTGAGTTGTTTCGCGCACGTCGCAGCACGGGCAAACGCCTTGATTCCGAATTGAAATATACAGTAACAGGCCCCACAGTAAATCTGTTGAATACCAATGGGAATGTGGAGTCTTAAAGTTATACGTATATGTTATATAGTTAAACAAACTGGGCAGGTTGAAAAGATTTACATCTTCTCTTACAAAATATTCATGGATAAATGAATAAACTTTGATCATAAAAGTAAACATGTCATTTGTTGGTGGTCTATTCGCAATCATTTAAAGTTCGAACGCGAGTGACTGTTAAAAGTCATCTATGATTTTTATTGAAATTACTAGAAATATATTCTGGTTTAAATTTAACTACAGTCGTTTGAGTTTTGTATTTTTTTCACTATTTGGGAATGTCAGAGCAACATAAACAACAAGTGTCCACATTCTTAATTTCCTAAGAGGTCATATGTTTCTCTAATGTAATCTAGAATGAACACGACGTATGTACTGTGATTAAATTTGGTGACCAATCAATAATCAAAAATCTATGGTAAAACAGCATATCATTAGAACTCGCCTTGGCGAAGCTGAAACATTTAAAATGGACCCACTGAAGCACGCAAAATTGGCGAACACCAGTAACGTGTCAATCACTTAAGTCGAAGACCATCAACAATTGAAAGCACTGTCCAAACAAACACCAGAAAATGTGTTATGGAGCTAAAAGCACTTATAACCCACATGTTTGTGTGTCCATTGACATTATTTACACTATATAAATTTGTTACCAGAACCCTGGAACGTAATAACAAATATACTGTGCCATTTGGATTTGACCTCTACGGGTCACTTTGACGAACCTTCTTCACTCCTTTGTCACGGCTCATTTGGATCGGAGTCAGAGAAACGAAAATAGAACATCACATTTTAGCGTTCGAATAACATGATTAAAGAGGGATAATAGCATTTCCCTGGAGTGTTATGAGATGAGATATGTGGACGCTTCTTATCAATACATTTCAACATGTGCCAGTGAAATAAACCTCGTACTTAGTAAATTATGCTAATTAGAATTATATCTGCCTCTATGTCAAGTAGAGGAAATGCAATAAGAACTGAAAATGTAAGAACATGCAATTTACGGTTTTTTTATCACTTTTCATTCTCTAGACTTTTCACAAGTATTATTTAGTCAACCATCAAAGAGGATATGATGTCACACTTTACCCACAAACCTTTGCGGGCAGATTGCATTTTCCTATATTTGTGGAGCTCTTTCCTTAGGGAGCATTATGTTGTTTGACG